AGGAGACATCAACAGGAACTGAGGAGACATCAACAGAACTGATGAGACGTCAACAGGAACAGAGGTGAAAACAACGGAATCTGAGGAGACATCAACATGAACAGCGGTGAAAACAATAGGAACTTAAGAGAGATCAACAGGAACTGAGCGGACAACAACAGGAACTGGTGAGACGTCAACAGGAACAGAGGAGACAACAACATGAAATGAGGAGACATCAATATGAACTGAGTAGACATCAACAGAAACAGAGGAGACAACAACAGGAACTGGTGAGACGTCAACAGGAACAGAGGAGACAACAACAGGAAATGATGAGACATCAATATGAACTGAGTAGACATCAGTTCCTGTTAATGTCTCCTCAGTTCCTGTTGGTGTCTCCTCAGTTCCTGTTGGTGTCTCCTCAGTTCCTGTTGATGTCTCCTCAGTTCCTGTTAATGTCTCCTCAGTCTCAGTCAACAGTTCCCCAGGACTTCCCCTACCTCGGGATGATAGTTTTGACAGTTCACCAAATAGCATTGAAACAATTGTTTTATTTCCAAATAAAAATTAGTATCAATGCAGCATGCAATGATGCCATTGCTTCAACACTGAATCGCGGTCACCGAAACGCTTGAACGGCGCTCTCGAGGAGGGATTTCTGCGCATCAAATTCGCGCCGGGTAACAGTTCGCTCTGACCGGAAAAACAGTTTTGACTGTTTCACCCCTACAGCCGAAATTGGACAAAAGGCCAGAAACAGTCAAAAATGACTAATTATAATTTATATAGACTATTTGGTAATAATTCATGTTGTTGTCCCCTCAATTCCTGTTCATCTCTGTTAAGTTCCTATTGTTTTCACCTCTGTTCCTGTTGATGTCTACTCAGTTCATATTGATGTCTCATCATTTCCTGTTGTTGTCTCCTCTGTTCCTGTTGACGTCTCACCAGTTCCTGTTGTTGTCCGCTCAGTTCCTGTTGATCTCTCTTAAGTTCCTATTGTTTTCACCGCTGTTCATGTTGATGTCTCCTCAGATTCCGTTGTTTTCACCTCTGTTCCTGTTGACGTCTCATCAGTTCTGTTGATGTCTCCTCAGTTCCTGTTGATGTCTCCTCAGTTCATGTTAATGTCTCCTCAGTTCATGTTAATNATGTGATGTCTCCTCAGTTCTGTTGATGTCTCCTCAGTTCCTGTTGATGTCTCCTCAGTTCCTGTTAATGCCTCCTCAGTTCCTGTTAATGTCTTATCAGTTCCTGTTGTTGTCTCCTCAGTTCCTGTTGTTGTCTCCTCAGTTCCTGTTGTTGTCTCCTCAGTTCCTGTTGATGTCTCCTCAGTTCCTGTTGTTGTCTCCTCAGTTTCGTTTTATGTATCTTAGGTTCATGCTGTCATTTCGTTTCCTTTTGTCGTCTCCTAACTTCCAGTTTATGTCTCATTTGTTCCTGTGGTGTCTCCTCAGTTCCTGTTGATGTCTCCTCAGTTCCTGTTGATGACTCCTCAGTTCCTATCGATGTCTCTTCAGTTTCTGTTGTTGTCACTTTGTTGTCTGCTGTTATATATAAGTATAGACATTGAACTTTTCAACGATAGTGTTCTTGTTGTAAAATATGTCTGCTGTTTTAGTTTGCTACAGTTGTATCAATGTAGGATTTTGTCTTTTATTTTAAGGTTTAAAACGGTTCTTATTGCGCAATTTCTTTTTTGAGTGGATTCCCAGTTACAAAACTTTTCATTTTTGCCTGAATTGGTTATGCTTTCCAATCAGACCAGGTTCAGCGACGTATAGAAATGGAAACGACAAATTCCAATCGACAATTAATCTTTGTATTTATATCATAATTATAATCTATTGAATGAACGAGGAGTGAATTAAAGACATTTATATTTCGTTAATTGATGTGTCATGGCTAGGCCTGACAACAAGACCAATCAATGGGCTTGTCCCGTGCACACAATCGCTCGCGAATCTAGTAACATAATACTACCGCTTTTTAAACCACAGGTAAATCACAGACACATACTTTTTCTATCAAGTGCTATTAAAATACAATATATGATCTCTTTGTAGACGATATCATATAAAGGGCTGATTGTCCCTACAAATATATATATGAATACAAAACACATAATCAAATTCAGATGAGAAAATCAACATATCGATGTTTATATAATATGGATATAGGTACCATTCCGGGTCCTGCTTCACTGTATACACCCGAATTCGTTTGAAACGCGAGTGAGATGGATTATAAATATGACACGATCGCCAGCGTATAGAAAATCACGACTGTTTTAAAAGTGCTGTCGATTCGACTTTGCGATCCATTGTGCACGCCATTCAAACCTATCACCAATATATCACACTGCCATTGAGTGTATTAGGGCGGGCGATCACCTCAGTGATTACAGAAAAAGAAAACGTATATTCACTTTACTTTCATGTTTCAGACCAGCTAACCGATGTACGGCATGAGATGGTCACTGACTTTTATTGATTGGACAGGAAAGTGTTTATTGTATTACTAGTATTCAGTCAAGTGGTCTTAACTGGAATTGGATTCTGTGGAAAACGCTTTTCGTTCGATGCTGATATATACAGGTGAGTCCTCCATATAGATTCACTCACCTGAGATATTTACACTTGTATCAGTCATACATACCTATACGGAGTTAGCTGTCAAAATAGAACTGTACATATAGAAGTAACGTGGTTACTTTTGTAATATTTAAATGATATTGTTTTGTTGATATGGATCACAGTTCATGTGAACCGGATCAGTTCCTCACAGAAGGTAAGTACGTTCAGTCGAAACGTAGAGTAACTTAACATCCAGTACGTTAGGTGTAGTTACATGTAGTTACTTAGAATTAAGTACGTTAGGTCTATTAAGTAAATATAATGACTAAGAATCAAGTACGTTAGGTCCGGACAGTAACTTAGCATCAAGTCAGTTAGGTACGTACAGTGACTTAGCAACAACTTAATTAAGTCGTACTGTGAATAAGCATCAACTTAATTTAGTCCGTACAATGACTTAGCATCGACTTAATTAAGTCCGTACCGTGACTTAGCATCAAGCACGTAAGCCCGGACAGTAATTAAGTTAGCATCAAGTAATGAGGTCCGGACAGTAACTAAGCATCAAGTCAGTTAGGTACGTACACTAACTTAGCATCAAATTCATTAAGTCTGTACTGTGCCTAAGCATCAACTTAAATAAGTATGTACAATGACTTAGCATCAACTTAATTAAGTCCGTACCGTGACTTAGCATCAGGTACGTTGGGTCCGGATAGTGACTTAGCATCAAGTACGTTAGGGCCAGACAGTAACTTAGCATCAAGTACATTAGGTCCGTACAGTAACTTAGCATCAAGTACGTTAGGGCCAGAGAGTAACTTAGCATCAAGTACGTTAGGGCCAGAGAGTAACTTAGCATCAACTACGTTAGGGCCAGACAGTGACTTAGCATCAACTACGTTAGGGTCAGACAGTAACTTAGCATCAACTACGTTAGGGCCAGACAGTAATTTAGCATCAAGTACGTTAGGGCCAGACAGTAACTTAGCACGAAGTACGTTAGGTCCGGACAGTAACTTAGCATCAAGTACGTTAGGGCCAGACAGTAACTAAGCATCAAGTTATTTAGGAACGTACAGTAACTTAGCATCAAATTAATTAAGTCCGTACTGTGACTAAGCATCAACTTAATTAAGCCTGTACAATGACTTAGCATCGACTTATTTAAGTCCACACCGTGACTTAGCATCAAGCACGTTAGGTCCGGTCAGTAACTTAGCATCAAGTACGTTAGGGCCAGACAGTAACTTAGCATCAAGTACATTAGGTCCGTACAGTAACTTAGCATCAAGTACGTTAGGGCCAGAGAGTAACTTAGCATCAACTACGTTAGGGCCAGAGAGTAACTTAGCATCAACTACGTTAGGGCCAGACAGTAACTTAGCATCAACTACGTTAGGGCCAGACAGTAACTTAGCATCAACTACGTTAGGGCCAGACAGTAACTTAGCATCAAGCACGTTAGGGCCAGACAGTAACTTAGCATCAAGTACGTTAGGGCCAGACAGTAACTTAGCATCAAGTACGTTAGGGCCAGACAGTAACTTAGCATCAAGTACATTAGGGCCAGACAGTGACTTAGCATCAGGTACGTTAGGGCCAGACAGTAACTTAGCATCAAGCACGTTAGGGTCAGACAGTTACTTAGCATCAAGTACGTTAGGGCCAGACAGTAACTTAGCATCAAGTACATTAGGGCCAGACAGTGACTTAGCATCAGGTACGTTAGGGCCAGACAGTAACTTAGCATCAAGCACGTTAGGGCCAGACAGTAACTTAGCACGAAGTACGTTAGGGCCAGACAGTAACTTAGCATCAAGTACGTTAGGGCCAGACAGTAACTAAGCATCAAGTTATTTAGGAACGTACAGTAACTTAGCATCAAATTAATTAAGTCCGTACTGTGACTAAGCATCAACTTAATTAAGCCTGTACAATGACTTAGCATCGACTTATTTAAGTCCACACCGTGACTTAGCCTCAAGCACGTTAGGTCCGGTCAGTAACTTAGCATCAAGTTATGAGGTCCGTACAGTAACTTAGTATCAAGTACGTTAGGTCCGGTCAGTAACTTAGCATCAAGTACATTAGGGACAGACAGTAACTTAGCATCAAGTACATTAGGGCCAGACAGTAACTTAGCATCAAGTACATTAGGGCCAGACAGTGACTTAGCATCAGGTACGTTAGGGCCAGACAGTAACTTAGCATCAAGCACGTTAGGGTCAGACAGTTACTTAGCATCAAGTACGTTAGGGCCAGACAGTAACTTAGCATCAAGTACATTAGGGCCAGACAGTGACTTAGCATCAGGTACGTTAGGGCCAGACAGTAACTTAGCATCAAGTACATTAGGGTCAGACAGTTACTTAGCATCAAGTACGTTATGGCCAGGCAGTAACTAAGCATCAAGTACATTAGGGCCAGACAGTTACTTAGCATCATGTACGTTACTTCCAGAAAGTTACTTTATTTCAATTTAACTCAAACCTAGCTTCAACCTAACAGTCGGATCTTTAACTTCTGCCGTAACAGTAACGGTAAATATGTCAATTTTTATCTCAATACCTGTGTCATTTAAACAACATTATATCCGTAAGTATACTTTTAACATCGGGTATAATTCGCTTAAATATATGTGTGTATGCTTGTCTTTTAATATACTGCATTCGGTTCGATCCGTTCCTCATGACTCAATGAAGTACAACATACTGTATAGATGTAAATGTCCCCAAATATCAAAATCAAATCTTAATCGAGTTGGGGAGTTTTTTTGTCTGGTCTATTATTTAGAATACATGACGATATGTGAAATATTTGGAATGTAATTCTAACTTGTAATATCTTGACGTTTTGTATTGTGACACTTACATAGACATGACAGAGTGTTATGTGTACAGTATATGCATCACGATAATTAAAAGGAACTTTAATTGAACGTTGCTAAGCCTCGCCTACTATTCACTGTATGTAAATGATATACAAAACAACACCAATGCGTTACCAAGATAATAATTGTCATGTTAATATCATTCAGTTCGTACTTTAAAGTAGAGACAACCATGCATATATGATTTTTTTGATTTTTTTTTACATTTTTAAAAGCTAATGAACAAACCAAGGTCATACAGTAAAATATTTTAAAAATGGCTACAAGTTCAAAGTCAATAAAACCTTGAAGCATGATAGGAGAAAGACAAGATAACAAATACTAGTAAAACTATACCCTCATGTGTCACATTAACGAAAATACTTTACTTAACTGAAGACGCTTCCGTCCCCCTGTCCGACGTGCGTAAATCCTTAGAGATAGTAGTTGTTATTCCCTGCTTAACGTTCAGCATTTAGGGTTAAAAAAAAACGGGTAAACTATTGTAAGTATACTAGGTGATGGGATCGGGTAAAATACGGGTAAACTATTGTAAGTATACTAGGTGATGGGATCGGGTAGAAAACGGGTAAACTATTGTAACAAGGTGATGGGATCGGGTAGAAAACGGGTAAACTATTGTAAGTATACTAGGTGATGGGATCGGGTAGAATACGGGTAAACTATCGTAAGTATACTAGGAGATGGGATCGGGTAGAATACGGGTAAACTATAGTAAGTATATATAATAGGTGATGGGATCGGGTAGAATAGGGGTAAACTATTGTAAGTATACTAGGTGATGGGATCGGGTAGAAAACGGGAAAACACGAGTAAATTGGATGGTAAGTCCAATAAAAACAAACCAAATGCATGTAGCATTTATCGTTTAGAGTCAATAGGTGTAACTTTGTTATTTAAGAATTCTATGAGCAACGTTTCCTTTTGGCTGTTTTTCGAAAAACATTTGGGCACACTTTAGACCTATATTTCATACTTGTGATCTTTAGCAGTACTGGTAAGTTCTAAATAGACTGTACTGGTAAGTTCTAAATAGACAGAACTGGTAAGTTCTAAATAGACAGTACTGGTAAGTTCTAAATAGACAAAATGGTGCAGTTAACACTGTTTGATTTTCTTCATCGACGTTGTCATTTGTGACATCGTATTTCCAGTGAATATTTTACATAATTTCTTACATAGCCTATATACTGTATATAAAATAACTAAATATATAGTTATTATGCTTATATACTCATAATATATGGGTCAGAGAAGTTCTATAATATCAACGGTAAATAGAGAATAATACATGCCTTTTCCATATCACACCAAGTATCAACCCGAGACTGCAATATCAGTCCGATGGCCGAAATGTAAAGTTATAACATTAACTAATAAAAGCTACTATTTTATGATCTAATTTTCTTTTAAAATATTGAAAAACGAAAAAAATTCCAAAAGGGGTGTGATACGGGTTGTGCGGGCTGATACGGAGAGAGCTGATACGGAATTTTTTTTTGAGGGGGGGGGGGGGGGGGGGGGGGGTTGATACGGCGAGGGCTGATATGGGTAAGAGCAATTGTGTCGTATCGCATATACAATAAAACCCGTATTTATTAATATGTAATAAATTTCCATATAACACTTAGTCCTTACAACGAACATGTATTGTTGTAAGATACGAATAACTTAAAACTGGTCTATGGGACAAGGAAGTAATTCCCACAGGGAAGACAGTGTGTGGTCGACATATCAGATATAACTTTATCATATCTCTACTACATACATTGTATATAATACAAACAACATACGGACGTTTTATATAACAGATGTAGCATATGTTTGATATAGTTTATGGCCCTCTGATAATATTGTTCAGGTTATGTTAGAATATTTGAAAAAAACATTCATTTACGCTTCTTGCTTCAGGTATACTTCAATGGCCGCAGTTATAGGACGTTATCGAACTTTATGTGATCATATTCAAGTGTTGACATATGCTGAGCATTGTTTTATGTCCTTGTCTCTTTTTTATCATTTAAGTTTATCTATTACATCTAATTCCAATTTGAGCTTTTGTCCTTCGAGGATTTCCTATCAATCGTTTTCTTCAAAACACTGGAGGAATATTTCACTTTATACAAAT